GTGTGTGTGTGTGTACGTTGGCTACAAGCCTACCACAGCCTGTACCACTAGCCTCCCTTCTCCAGAACCTCCCTAAAATCCTCCCTGGGCCTTCAGCAATCAAGTCTCCACTGTAAGCTGAAGACAGAACAGAACAGATCAGAGCGGAGAGAAGAGAGATAGACGCAGAGTATAACATGGGAGCAAAAAAGACTAAGAGAAAGAAATTAAACAGAAAATAGTTGGGGGGGGGGTGCTCTAACTCCTCCTCTGCCTCCTCTCCTCACACACACACATATTAAGTCACAGAGTTCAGCGTATGCATTAAGAGATGTAGCAAGTTCTCCTCACATGTGAAATCACTATTACCTGTTGAAAACCATTTTCTTTGCACAACAACTTTGGTAATTTACCAGCACATCGAAAATGTACAAAGCAAACACACACACACACACACACACACACACTCAACAGTACATGTCGGATCAGCAGGGGGAAAGAGACCGAGTCAACTGTGAGACCTGAACAAAATTACCATGATTATCCATAACCATAAATAAGCCTGATGATGATGATGATGGTTTTAACAATAATAATAGCAATTCACCCTGAGTGCTTTTTCAAATAACAGTGACAGCATTAGCCACATCGCCAACAGAAAAATGAAAGGCTCGGTGCCTTGAGAGCTCTTCTTCGCTGCCACTGCTGATGGGGCAAATTGGCAGGCAGAGCGAGCAGACAGGGGTCCTTAAGACGGATGTAAAAATAGTAGGCTGTCGATTTGCCCGTTGTCCTGGCACGGCTCCAAGGAAAACAAAATAACAGGAGTTGAGGAATAACAGGAAAAGGGAGAAGCCGTGGTGAAAGTATGCCCAAGTTCCTGTCACTTAGCACAGGTCACACCTAATGTCACCTTCCTCTGGATGCAGAACGGGAAAGAACAGCCTCTCACAACAATGTCTCCGCCATATGGTCATGTCTTAAAATACTACAGGCCAGCGCAAAATCCATATGATTCCTCTGCCTCTCTCTTTCTCTTCACACTTAAGTCAATTATGTGTGATGATCCTCTCTGCCGGTGGCAATGTCTGGGTCACCAAAGCCAACATTGGCCCCTCCCAGCTCTCAACACCCCCATGACCCTTGGTACTGCCACTTCACACACACACACACACACACAAAATTATATTTCAACCCTTTCATAACTGCCTGGACCTTGGTGACAGCTGCTGCATTCTTGCCGTGTCAGAGTGTGTGTGAGTGTATGTTTGTGTGTGTGTGTGTGTGTGTGTGTTGCTGCCCTGGCCCTGTGCTTATGTCCCCTTCATTAGCCAGTGGCGGGGTGGTGACATCCTGAGCGACTGGCCCTTCAAACACACACTTCCTCTTCACACCGGCGACTTCTCCCCAACTGCAGGAAACTACCCAAAGACAAATAACTAACAGCCCTCTTTTGAAAGAAAGGAAGAAAATGAAAGAAGGAAAAACAGAGTGAAGAATGGTGTTCAGTTGCTTAAACAGCCAACAGCAGAAAAAAAGGAAAACAGCAGTGGGGGAGAGATTTATATTAAGTAATATATATATATATATATATATTATCAAACTAAAATAAATGTGAAAAAAACTTTTAAAAAAAAAACATTATTATATTATTTCTGTGGTCTAATCACATGCCACACACGGCTGAATTAACTAGATCACGTACTCAACTGCCACACTGAACACTACATTTATTTAAAATGAATCAAACCTAAATAAACCTCACATAATCTCCTTAAAGTTAGATGCTTCTATTCAGGTTGCCGGTACTTTATTGATTATTTTGCCGAAAGCAAGTCGCATAATAACAGTACAGTAACAGAACAACAACTTGAATACACATGCCCACACAGAAAGCAGTTTCTGGGAAAGACTCAGCTATAGTAGATTTCACCACTCAACCATCTGATAAGAACAGAGCAGATGGCTTTGCATTTCTATCGTTCCTTGACACTCACATACATACACACACACACACACACAAACACACACACAGAATGCACAGCATACTGCTCTGCCAGACATATGATAAAGAAAGCGTTTTGACTTCCATGATAGTGTCTCTACGTTCTGTATCCTCCCCACTATTCAGGCTTTCACCATTGCGGTGAGGCTGCCGTCTCCTCAGGAAAAACAGGAAACAGCTGACATGGAACCCGTGAGTGATACTCACATGATGCTTATTGATCGCTGGTTGCCCCGGGTCTCACACACCGAATCAGGGTCGGTACGTAACCATAACACTGGTCCTGCAGGGCAATACTGCGCAGCTACAGAGGTTACTGTATGACGGGACACACATGATCATGGCCATGTGAGGGGCGGCTTTAAAAAAGATTTATTTTTGTGGGCAAGATCATGCATATAAGATAAAGATGAGAGTAAAATCTGGTTGTTATTATTTTTACATAAAAGCAAAAGATCAGGCAAAGAAAGGAGAATGGAGGAGTCGTATTGACCGATATCCTCAGCAGTCTCCACAAAAGCAAAAGCAAAATAATAGAATTAAAATCATGGATATTGATTTTATACGCTTAAACGTAAATGTGTACTGTAGATGCAAGAGGAAAATATTCATTAAATGGCATAACGCGGAAACAAATTATACTAATGTATCATCATATTTCAATAAAAATTAATGCTTGGTGATGCAAGAAAAAAAAACTGATTTAAGAAAGCCAGTAAAAAATGTTGCGGACGTCATATCTCCCTGGTTGGTGCCTGGGTAAATATAGTGGGGACCACAGCATGAATGGGACCTTGTACATCCTCCTACTCCGTCAAACTAGATGGGTTCTTAATAGTGCACACACACATACAGTAAATATACAAGTAGCTGCAGCCACTTTCCCTCTCAATCTTTCCCATTGCTGTGCTCTCTCTTGGAGAAATAATGCTGCCTTCAGGAAACACTCACATCATCATTGTTGCATATGCACAAAGACTGAGCGAGGTGCCCGCCCACTGAATGCCACAGTGGCCTTTCTCTGCGCTGCTCGTGTTATCTGGCACCCTCTAAACTGGCCAGTAGCATTGCAATAATTGCGTTAAAGAATGTAAGAACCAACCACAACTTTGCAGTTAGAGACAGGTGCTATCAGTGGGATTTGTTCTAGTGAAAAAGTAGCTTCAAACGCATTGAACATGCGCAACGCCCAAGTGGTCCTTTGTTACACAGGTTCAATCACGAGCCTACTCTATAAAAACAGTAGCTGCAGAATAAAACAATCCGATTTAGCATGTGGTGGACTGGAGGTGGAGATAGAGATTTTGGTAGGAAAGATAAGTCGAGAAGAAGAGAGAGAAAAGTGGGGGTTGAGGTGTGGGGAATAAGAAGAGAAAGGAAAAGCGGGTGAGAGGAGAAGGAGAAGAAGAAGCAGTGAAAGACAGAGACGTAGTAGAAGAAGAAAAAGAAAAAGTAGTAATGGGGGAAGTGGTGCGTGTCTTTTCTGCAAATCTCCTCTTTCACCTCTGCTCTCCTCCAGCTCTCCAGCCAAGGCCAGCCAAGAGACACTTCACCTCGCACCCACACACACATGGAGCCAGAGCCAACACGCAGAAACACACACACTCAGAAAGACAGAGGACACACACACCCACAAAACTGCACACGCTCACTCTCATGCACACACACAAACACACACACTCACACAACTGGCATATGAGTATTTAGCCACCCACTCAGAAAAATAAATGGCAAAAGCACGGACACAAATGCCTTAACGCACACATGCACATGCATAAACTTCAGTGTCAGAACGTGCACACACATACGCACTTGACACCAGATACATGTACGTATAGGCATCCATATGCTGTGTGTGCAACGACCCATCAAAGACAGACATGGAAATAATAACAGTTGAGTGTAACGCACATACACACACACATTCACTGACTGTGGATAATTCCACACATATGCATCAAATCACTGCCTTCCAGTTCCGCACAATGGTAAAAAGCAATGCATATGCACCACATATGCAGCATGCAACACGCTTGTACCCCACAGTGTTAAACAATGTGTGCACACACACACACACACAAACACAGTAAGTGTATCAGTGTGTTAATGGGCAGATTAGCACGTTCTGTGATCTGCACTGAAGAGGATAATATCAACCTCATTTCTTCAGTCAGACAAAACAAAGCAAAGCATGTTATTCCATAAATATGTCTGTCATTGTGCCCTGAGAGCTAACAGTGCTCACTTTGCAAGGTTTGACATAGACAGACAAGATTGTACAGGCCGCACTGCATTAACAAAATTTATAAGCGAATAGGCGAAAATCAACCAATATGATTGTAACACTGATCCATACAAAATGTTTAAATATGTCACAAAACATGAAAACGCGAGAAAATAGATAGAAAGATGGAAATGGAGGAAATGAAGCCGGACTTTAGAAATTTAGAGAATATATTTTTTTTTTAAAAGCTACAGAGCTCCACATATTTGTGTGATCAATGCCAAAATGCTTGTATGCTGTTTAACAATTTGATGCTGTATTAAAACCAGGCATTATGAACTAATCACCGGACAGCTATCCTTTTTTTTAAGGTGGAAAAAAATTAACATTACTGATAAGAAATGTATAGATATTGATTTTATTACAATCATTTGCTGCTTTTTTGTTAAATTTTAAAAAAGTGATTTTTTTTCAGGATCTTAAATTTGCAAATGCATGATACAGTATGAGGAAAAAGAAAATGCTGCACACTTGTGGGTGAGGTTTTGATTTGAAATTGAAAGAAAAAGGTAAAAATTGGCAAAATGCATGTGAAATTTAAAGAATACAAAAACTTTATATTTAAAGAAAATTATTATTACTGTTATTATTATTATTATTGTTGTTATTATTATTACAATTCTACATTTATTGCTAATGCATATTTCTAGGTTATAAAGCTTTGTATTGATATGTGGATATAAGATGAGCAGGCAGCACTGAGAGCAGACAGAAGCTGTGGTGCCACTGTACCTCTTCCAGGTCTCGGCCCATAGTCGACCTGTCGCACTTCAAAGGAAGCCGCGTTACAGCACCCTTGCAAAAAGAAAAGGAAGAAGCTATTTTAGAGATACTTTTAGATTGAAGACAGACACTGATTTCTTTTTTTTCTTTCTTTTTTTTTATTCTTTCTCCGAGGTCTGCTGTAAGCCTGGGTGGCAGCATCAGATCCTCAGGTGGAGGTTTACGAGCTTTTGTAACCATGAGTTGTTCCCACATTCCTTCGGTTTGGAGCGATGGGGAAATATAATACATAGGCTATAGACGCGGCCTACGGCTGCTGCATTGTGGAAGAATTATCCCTGATGAACCAATTAGGCTCGTAGTATCACTTAACTCCAGGCTTTTTAACTTGCAGGGGTCGATATTCATAGCCACGCATGTACAGCAGCGGGTCAATTAAGCCTCCAAATATTATCACTCCGTAATGTCTGGGAAATAATTCAACTCCTAATTAATGTTTGTAATTTTTCCTCCATAAAAACAATTATGAAAGTTCCCTCTTGCTGTGTTTTGCAAAATGTGCAGCGATTTCTGAACATTAGGAAGCTGCGAAAATAGGCAGTATTTATCGAATCCATTTCATTGATTTCATTTAAATTGCATGCTGTTCATGTTGTTTCCTGTTGACACTTGCGTGGATTATGGAGGTTGTGAATCTGCTATGTGCCTAGAAAAAAAAAAGTTTCTTCAAAGATTAAAAGCCTATTAAGGCCTGTTAGGAAAGGTGTAAATTATTCGCTCACAGTCGTGCTTTAATCGCCACTGTTGTTAATTTCGTTAGATCAGAGAAAAACGCAATAATGAAAAACGAGTTCATGTAGATCTGTTATCAATATGCAATTTTAACACCACAAACTTAATAAAACATGAGAAAAAATATTAAATTCACCTTTATTTTTTATCTCTTTCTCCAATTTGTACCAGTATCACCTCTAGCCAAAAATTTGTAGGGGAAATGTTTCATTGTCTTGAAAACATCTTAGTGAATATGGAAATAAATTCATTTATTCATTCTGAAATAAATCATAATTACAGCCAAAATATAAAATACACGAAAAAGAGTTGAATACAGGAGTCAATCAAAAAGGAAATCAATAAATTCCTATTTGACATTTGTTCTCAAATTGACTTCTGTTTTGTTTAAGTCATTTTCTTTACGCTGAAGGAGGCAGGTGCTGCTTTTTATGGCTTGCCTGCGCTATTAAACACCGTGTAGAAAATGGAAAAAAAAAACACATTCAACATGAGCTCTCCTGATTCATAATTTGATCATTAAAATCTTTTGCTTTAACCTCTTTACTTCCATCGCTTACTGATGTTTATGCACCGAGATGATCAGACACCTGCTGTAAACAATGAGCTTATTTATGTCATTTCAATTGTGGCAGGGAAAAAAATATAATACCTGTATTCAGTCAAGTCCTATTTGTTCTCATTTCTAAAGTCTTGCCTTGTGTGTGTGGTTTACAAGGAATGTCAAAGGTATTGCCTAATGTTTTGGCTTGGTGTTGCCCTGCACCTCACCACAGCCGCATCTGTCCTAAACGCACTGCGCAGAGCAGTTTCGGGTCTCTATCGATCAGATGGAAATATAATTTGGCCTAACAACGATAAAATACCGCATCCCTCGTGTCACCCAGTTGATCTTTAAGGGAGAGAGGGAAGATTTTGAAACACAAGCCCATAACGCATTTCTCTCCTCCAACACCCCTGGGTGCGCCAGCCTCGGCAAACACAAAGTCATTATTGGTTAGATTCGAAGAAGGCGAGTCTGTCAAGGAACAGGCTTCCTTCGGAGAATTTATGTCATGCCTACTAAACATGGGAAGATGTCTTCTAAGTGGTGCGAGGAAGGATAAATAACAGCGAGTCCCACAGCTGATTATATTGAAACAACGGTGCGCATTTGTAAAAAGGATTGGGGATGCAAACGTGGGGTCCCAGCAGATGCTGAGCGCAGGGGCCCATCCACCTGCTTCATACCGGGAGAGGAGAGAAGAGGAGCGCTCTCCTCCCTGAATACAACGCACCCGGCTCTCCCAAATCACTTATCAATACTTTGTATGATCGTTTTTTTTGGGGAGAATTTCAGGACAAAGGCTTGTTAAAAAAAAAGGCATATATATATATATATATATGATTCTACATGAGAAGTGCAGAGATGCGATTCATTTCTCCAAAAAATGTAATGTGTGGTAAAGATTAGGCTGAGTGGAATACAGAAAAGGGGGTTTAATTCATTAGGAAACACGTAACAACATCGGAAAGGATGCTTTTGGAAGAGAGAAGTTACATCGTGATATGTTTTAGTCTCCACACATCGGTTTCACCTTCACGATTACACCTTTGGGATTTAAAAAAAAACCCCACAAACTCTACGGGCTGTAAATACCGTCAAGGTGACAGAAAACATTTCTCATCATTTACAACACAAAGCCGCGGCGAGGCTGTTGCGCAAGAGCCGCTGTGGCCTGAGTGCGTAACAGCATGTGCATGGTACGGAGAGGAGAGCCTGCAGGTCCCGCTATGATTAACTGCAACCTAACAACCATCCTCTATCTTTACTGTCTCCCCCTCACACACGTGCGCGCGAACGGACACACACACACACGCACGCACGCACACACACACTTGCACAAAACTCGACTCTCAGTCCTCTTCCCTCTCCTTACCTGACATTTATCTGACGAAACCACAAAATCCCCCCCTTCGTCCCTTAAAAATAACTCTCTTGTTCTAACTTGGGGAGCTACTTGATAAGAATAATACAAAAAGAAACTACCAAACAAGAGAGAAATTCAGCGTTACATCCACGGTAATAGGCGAGAAATGTCGGGAGGAAATGTGGGCTTTCCTCAGCCGGTGCAGGCTATCCGTTATCACCATTACTTTTCCGGGCGAGCCTGTGTTCGTTCACGGCTCCTCTGCTGTTCTGCAGCCGCGCAAGGGGCTTCCTGCCTCGGCCACATGAAGTCAATTAGCCGGTCCCAGAGGGGTGCCCCTTCCCGAGTCTTTATCGGCACTGAGGTTACCAAAACACTGCTATTGCTTGCTTTTAAACTCCACACCGCTCACAGACCAATTACGGAGACTTAAGCATGTATGTAACGAATCTGGACATGGGATAATCCATCAAATGGTGAAATAAATGAATTATGTAATATTCTGAATATTTTGCAGCAAAGTGTGTTTTTTATTTTAAAATTACATAAAATATACTGTTCTGGGTTATTTTTGTAGAGCAGAAAATTACTGAATTACTCAAATTAGAAGGGACATGGCATGGTGTGTGTAAAGCAACAACATAAAGACATACACACAACAACATCAAATCTGATATATTCCAAAAGTGGGGAAAAGTCGCAGAAATGCAATTGCACTTAAGGATTCTTAATTTGAAATATCACAAACAAAACACAACCACCCCACTACTCACCAGATACACACACACTGACACACACAGCTACACACAGGTACAAACACACACAAACTCTTTCTTTTTCACACACAGACCAAGAGGTAGTAAAAATCACAATAGCAAAGGTCTGAACATACTCCATGAGAGGAAAAATAAAACTTTGGTCCTTGAATAGACTGAAAATGGTGAAAGAGGGGAAGGGTAGAAGAGAGACAGAGATGGAGAGGACAAGGGCTTTGAGGCTGAGTTGACGTACCTGCTGGGACATTCTGTAGAGAAGGTTGCTGTCAGTGCTCTGCTGCTGCCATGTCCCCATGAAGCCCGGCTGCTCAGCACTAGGCGGTCTGGTGCTGAACTGCATGGAGCTTTCGCCTGCTCCCTCAGCGCTGCTGCTAACGATGCTAATGCCACCCAGACCACTTTTGCTGCTGCTGCTGGTGCTGCTGCTACTGTGGCTACTGGAGGGGATGCTCGTGCAAACGCCAGCGGTGCCGGTGGGTCCGTTAGCCTTAGCTGGAGGTGGCCTGGGCGGCTCCGGGTCTGTGCTGGGCTCTTGTGGGACTGTGTCGCACTCACTGCCTCTCACATCCAACTCTGCCTCCTTGGACTTAGACAGAGAGAGGGAGAGACAGAGAGAGGGAGGGCAGGAGGGATGTGGGAGTGTGAAGGAGGAGAGAAGGGAAAAAAAAGAAAGTCAGTGAAGGTGGGTTCTTTTGGGGTCTTGTTGCCTTTTTTTCGTCTCGTGCGGGTCCTGCTTCTCGAGCAGGAGGATAACAGTGAGAGGGGAGTTGAGGGAGTAGATGTGTGTGAGGTTTCTTGGCAGCCCTGGTGGCGGAGGAGTGTGTGTGGAGTTAATTCTCAAGAAGAGAGAGAAAAGAGGGCTCGCAGTGAATTTCCTCGGGGGCCCGTCTTGGACAGGGCAAGATGAGCAGAGCATTGGAGGTGAGGAAGGATGAGGAGAAGGACGGAGGTGAGGAGGGGGCTGATGAGAAGGTGAGCGAGAATGGAGTAAAAGAAGAAAAGAGGGGGGTTATGGGAATTAACGAGGAGGGGTTGCATGATGTTACCCGTGGCCTCAGTTTTTGCTTTAATCCATCTGTCAGTCATTTTGTACTTGGACATGGCCTCAACGCAAACACACTAACACGCACACAATGAAACACATGTTTACCCGCATGCATGCACACATTCAGACACAGAGATGTAGGACCGTAAGAGAAAAATTTTAAAAGTAGGAAAGAAAAAGTTGAACAACCTAGGAACTGCCATCAGCACACTTATCACTGAACACATGCCCACATTAGGATAAAAAACAAATCTATGTAATTCTATAAAAAAAAAAATTCTAATGTAATAAATAAGTCTTAAAGAAATAAAAAAGCACACTACATTCTTAACCTAAAAAAAGCAAACAAACACCAAAATGTGAAAATGTAAATAAGCAGTTTCATAGAAAACATGAACATCAAACAAAATCTGAGTTCAAAAATGCAAAAAAAGTAAAAAATGTTTCTAAATATAAAAAAGTCCTGTGAAAAGCGTCATATAAAGCAAACAGTTGAGCCAATAAAATTCATGAATGTCTCTTACCATCAATTCTGTGCCTGTCCCAGCAAAGTGAAGATGAGGTGTGGGAGTGAGCCACCAGCTATCCAGCTCTCCCTGCCTCCCGCTCCTCTCTCTCTCTCCCTTTCTCTCTCCCCTATTCTCTCTCTCTCTCTCTCTCTCTCTTCCTCTCTGTGATTGTGTCCCTCTCTCGACGTCCGTGCCGTGCCGCCTGTCCTCTCTCTTTTTCTTCTCTCCCTGCTTCTCTCTCTCTCTCTGACTCCTCTGTACTCCGCTGCAGCCGCTGAGGAACTGAGCTGAGCGCCTGAGCCTCTGTGTGTGTGTGTGTGTGTGTGCGAGAGCATGTGAGAGCAAGCGAGTGAGAGTGAGAGAGAGACGGTGGCTCTCTGAGTGTCTGTGTGTGTGTAAGAGGAAAGCAAGCGTGTGTGCGTCGGGCCGGTGCAGGCTCAACTGAGTCAACTGTGCTGCTCCACTCTGAGATGTTCAATGACATCGCGCTGCACGCTTCCTCACACACACACACACAC